GCCAACCATGGTTTCCGGACCTCCTGGCACTGTCCTACGCCGATCCACTTCTCATACCATCCTATCCGATGCTCCTCACGGATCCAAAGGGGAACCCCCATCCTCTCATCCTCGAAGATCGCCTCACCCTGGTGGCTTGGACGCTTTCAGGGGAGCCTGGCAAACCTGCGATTTATCGCAAACGGCTAGAGACCTCATATGGGATTCCTGGGCACCTGGGACCAGACGATGCTATCTATCAGCTTGGAGTTCCTGGTCCTCTTGGTGCAGTGAACGGAACTTCGATCCATTTACGGCACCTGTAACAGCTATTCTGAATTTTCTTTCACACCTTTTCTCTACGGGTCGCTCCTACCGCTCGCTTAACGTCGTGCGCTCGGCGATTTCGGTGGCTCACGTCCCGAACTTAGGTATTCCCGTTGGGAAGGACCCTCTGGTATGCCGTCTCCTGAGGGGTATCCGATTACAGAGACCACCAGGACCTAAGTACTCCCACATGTGGGACGTGGAGGTGGTCCTACGGTTTCTGAGAGATTGGCCGACTAATGACAGACTGTCTCTCAGACAACTCTCGGCCAAACTGACCCTCTTACTTTGCCTCGTTTCCTTCCGTCGGGTTTCGGACGTGCGGGCTTTCGACGTCAATGCCTTCTCGGTTTCCCCTGAGGGAGTTACCTTCCGCGTATCACGATGTACCAAATTGGACTCTACGTCGGTCTTTTACCCCTTCTTCGCTACTGAACCGCAGCTATGCGTCGTCTCTACCCTGCATCAGTACGTGGAGACCACAGCCTTGCTTCGGGCCTCTGCCTCAGGACAGTTATTAGTATCCTATGTCAGGCCACACGTTCCCGTTTCGACTACCACACTCGCCAGATGGGTACGATGGATCCTATCTCTGGCGGGTGTGGATGCTAATTTCGGTGCACACTCAGTGCGCGGGGCGGCGGCCTCCTCGGCTTTCTCGGCAGGCGCGTCCCTGGCGGATATCCTTCGGTCAGCTGACTGGTCGAGGGAATCTACCTTTCGGACATTCTACTTTCGCCCGAGTTCAGGTGCGGCTATGTCTCTTCTACATCAGCGTTAAAAATGCAAAATAGGAAGCCTCCTGTCATGTGGTAAAATTGAAGATTATGCTAGCGTTAGTGTACTTATAATCTTAATTTTAGTAATGACAGGAGGCGAGTATTTTCCCACCCTTTCCCTCCCTTGGGAAGAGTGGATGCACGTAAGTATATTTCTATATCCCGTTGTCTTATCTGATATCTATACCTTCGTCTCCTCTTGGTTTGGGATCTGTTATGTTCAGGTTATTATGCATTAACCTTTTAACCAGGGGGTCTCCTATTGCTTTATTATGTGGGGTCGATACTGCAACCAGTTGAAAGATCGGTGCCTAATCCGTTTCACGTTCTCGTTTCAGTTTAAATCCACGATGTTCACAGATCCTTCTCAGAGTGGACACAGTTGAATCATCCTTCAGCTCCTGGAGTCTCGTTAATGGGACACATCAACCGCTGCACGTTGCAGGACACTCTGAATCAGTTCGCACCCCGTGAAAGTCTGTTTTGTCGATGGGAATCACACGTTGGTGCACGTTATACATGTTTGGACGTTATTGTTTCTTGAGTTTTGCCTGATGTCGCTTCCGAAAGAGGGGGAGGAGCCTCATCACTGTGAATACTATACAGTATATTGCATTTTGATTGGTTATCGTTTTCACTTTTTCTTTACTGCTATGTGGAGTTAGTAAAGAGAGTTATATGCAAAATACTCGCCTCCTGTCATTACTAAAATTAAGATTATAAGTACACTAATGCTAGCATAATCTTCAATTGTAGAATGCTCCCTTGGTTCGGTAGTTCTCAACTTCCAAACACCGTTCATGTAGGTAGTCGTGAACTAGAACGGGCAGCAAGTCTATCTTTACTGGCATTCGCAGGAATGCCTGGCCAAAATCTGTTCCAGGCACTCGACAACCAAGTCCCGCTGCCTGCGTTTGGAAGACAAGATGGCTGCCATCCATTGTCTCGCCCACGTGCATTTGGTTGAACAAAATGGCGGCCACCCAGTGGAGCATTCTATTAATTATTTCCTTTGCGGTTTTCGTACAGAATACTTAACATTCCAAGTTCTAATGAGGTTCTGGGGTGTTCCTGGTTCGGAAACCGAACCAGGTGGAAATGAACAAAATAAAACGAATATAATTCCCACGAAAAAAGCCAAAACAAATGATGGGGCTATTCCTTAACACATATGATGATGCAGGTACCACAGACATATACTTTGCAAAACTATATAAAAAAAAAATATGGGGAAACACACATTTCACTCTAAGCCTGAGGAAATCTTAGAGCATAAAAACAGAACTCCCTATGAATGAAAACAGGAGTCTACTCTATCAACTCTAACACATATGAAATAATGTATTTGTTTCTTTTTTCTTTTTTTAAGTGCACTAATTTCCTCAGTATTAATTAATGTTAATATAGTAGAAAGTCAGTGCAATGCATTCGTTAAAAGTTTAAAATCTATATATCTCCGTACAACAGGAGAGGATACAATGTAAACATTTTAACTGATATTTTGGTTATGATTTCTTTTTAAAGACAGAGATATCTTTTGAGTTTTGCTCAAGTTAGTTCCAGAATATTGTAAATGACTAACAATATGCACACGGAATACATTTTCTTCCATGAAAGCCTTTTGTTACTTTTCAAGTGGCTTGACTTTTTGACCAGATGCTATTTAGTGTTGCTGAGGTGTTAACGAGCCAACAGAGAGCTAATGAGACAAAAACAAGTTGACTTGTTCTTCCCTTCAAACTGAGTCTTTGTATCAGACAAATGTTGCCTGTTTTCTGATGTCACAACCAATTATTAGAAAGTCAGAGCTTGCAAAGATACAAAGGAGTTGTCGGCTTGTAAGAGAACTGATTGGTGTACTCCAGATGAATGCTCTATTTCCAGTGTTAGTAATCATCCATCAAATACTATTCAAACCTGCTGTTATTTGCATTTCCAATACTTATAGGCATATTGTTTCCTACAATGAGAAATTGTATCGTCCATATCTTATATTATAGCCCATACATTTTCCAGGATATACTTAAAAATCTGAAAAATAAAATAAGCCAACTGCAGAAATATCAATGAAATTTTGAAGGGACTGTCCAGGTGCATATAATCACTTCATCTTAAAGGAACACTTTTGTGGTCTATAATTGTGTATTCTTTTGTACCCCAATGTCTCCATAGGGTCTTCTAGATTTCAAGGCTCCCTTTTAGTAATAATAAAAAAAAAATGTTTGAATTTAACAAATTACTTAGCTGTAATCCAGCATCAAGACAGTCCAGTCCAATGCTCAACATGCATGCCAATCGTTGCAATGTACCAATCAAATGATTCCCATGTAGAACTATTGAATTCAATTCCCCACTATTAGAATCATCAGAGGACATTCAAGGTTCTTATGCAATGTGTAAGGATGTTAAACGTCAAAACAGTCTGACTCGGTTCTCTCTGCAGAAGCACCATCTAGTCGCTGTCAGTGTAACAACCATTAGCGGTTTGTTTAGCCCAGCACTGAAAACATTGTCATATCCTAGAAATACAGTGTTTTACACTGTGGGAGTAAAATTGCAGGGCCAATGTATCTGAACCCATTCATTGAGATGAAGTGGTCTGAGTGCTTTTATTGGTTCTTTAATTGATTTTGTGGCATAAATGGGGCCCAGGCTACCTTGCAGATGAAAACAGCACGATTTCTGAGAAATAATACTGTTTACATATTGCAGACACTAGGGACTTCCAGCAAACCAATTATTGAATCTATTTGATGTCTGGTGCAATGTGTGTCTATTATTTTTCTATGAAAAGAACTGGATTCAGTGCTTCTCGTAGAGAAGCATTTGATTGGAGGTTTGTGTTGGCTGCCACACATGTGCCATGCAGCCATTATGAAAAGCATTTGACTGGACAAAATGCACCATGCTTAATTTATTCTAAACTTATTAAGAAACACACCTGACCCATCATGCATTTTAAGAATATTAATTTTTTTAATCGGCTGGATTCTTGAGCCACCTTTTCTTGCCAATACAAATAAATTGAAATAATTTCCTAAAAATAAACGACATATTGATTTATTTATTATACGACTTGATTGCCCTTTGTGATGGTGCATTGAAAATTTAGCATATACCTTTTTATGGTACAAGATACACTTATACCTCTAGTGGAGTGGTAAAATACAAAGATGGACAGGTAATTTACCTCATGTGTATGTTCATATGTACAGAAAATTACGTTCAGTACATAGAAAACAAAGAAAAAACACAAAATATAGTGCAGATGGTAAAAATAAAGATGCAATATGTCTTTAGTAGGTCAAGTCACTCACATATATGTGCAGGCTCTGTATATAGGGCTGTTATGCATCTCACCACTCTTTCATAAAGATGTTTTCTCAATTGTGTAGTATATCCAATATTAAATTAATAAAAATATATAGGCAGGTATTGAGCTCACCTTATTTAGAGTCTGAACTCCCAGCTCTAAGGTATACAGGTATAGTGACACTTTAGAATGTATCTCACTTCACCAATAAAGATTCCTGAGACTTTGGAGGACTCTTAAAATAATACTTTAAGAGTAAATTTATTAATTTATTTATATAAGAATAAATTTATTAACAAAAAAGAAGAAAACGGTAAACTAAAACTATAAAATACTGTCCACACTTGTATAAAAGAAATCCTGTGTCAGCCAAAACACATTTTAGTCCATCATGAGCTTTCCAGTCTATTTCAGGAATCTTCCATTTTTAATTTACATAGTGTAGACCCTCCCCTTCTCATGAAGTTTAAGGGGGGGGGGGGGGCAATTGTATCAATGTCAGGCTGCTCACCTCTTTAATTAAAGAGTTCACCTGTTGTCATTAAATTCTATTGGTTGATGTTAATTCCCGCCTTTTTTCTATAATATTCTATTCATTGGTGCTATTCCCGCTTATTTCCATCATGCAGTTCATTGGTGGTTAGTGGTGATTGATGGAGGTGCATCATATGATCCCCGCGGTTGTCGGAAGTATACCGCTCGCCATCTCCACCAACCAGCCTGGGCTGACGCGCCCTCATTTTAGACCTTCCGAACCAGAAACTGTGATGCACTTTTCCTGTATGGAGAATGGAAGGGGGTCGCAGGTCGGTGCCTTTCGTGGCAGACAGGATCGACGTCACAAGCTGCATCCTGCATCGCCCTCCCCCCTGGACGTAACGCATGACCGCAGCCTTCCATCCATACCTCCATTCTGGTGCCCAATCAGAGGATTCTATTCTCGGCTCCAAGATTCCGATAATACCATATATGTAGAGGGAAAATATTTAAGGGAAAATAATAAAAAAGAAATAAGTGTACAAATATAATTATACAGACATAAATATAGTGTAAATAGATGTATATACAAATATTATATGTATATATATATATATATATATATAGAGCCAAAAGTACAAGATAGCACTCCAGGGACTTCCAAGTAGAATGAATAAAACTTAGCTTTTATTAGCTCAAAAGAAAAATCAACGTTTCAGTCTGTATCTCAGACTTTCATCAGGCTTTTCATCAGACTTTCATCTGGAGTGCTATCTTGTACTTTTGGCTGTATCTGTTTGCTGATAAGCACCGGGCAAGTACATCAAGGAAGGTGGAGTGCATTACTATTTTTGTTTTATACATATATATATATATATACAAATATTAAATATGTTTATAAATTAATGATGTCATCCTAATATACATGTATATATATATATTAGGAAATTGTTAAATTTCCCCTTAAAGAGACAGAACACTGTTACTAAAAATATAACAAAAATTATATTTAAAATACAAGTCCAGTCACCTGTGGGTTTTTAAAAGCTCACAAAAAATTATGGGCAATATTTTGTTTAACGCAATTTATAGAATAATAAAGTCCGATAATAAGTACAACTTCAATCCTGTAACACCCAATGAACAGCCTGCCCTACTTTATGTTTTGCTGACTAATTCTGTGTTGTTTCTTTATTTATACATAATTGTCTTTCAGACCTGTTTTTTCTTTATTACATTTTTAGAATGATTCTGTGGTAGCAGCCATTTCCTTACTGACATCCAAAGATCTTTCCTATGCCTGTCTCACCTTGAGTGCTTCATTATTAGTTCTTGTTTATTTTGACTTTTGCAGGCTTCAATCTGCAAAGTTATGTTACCTACAAGTAATGTAACACGAGGCAGCAAATATTTCAAATTATACACAGCTTAGAATGGATTATCCAAATCTTCAGGGATACAAATAATAAGCAGTACCAGTTGGAAAAAAAAGTTGGATAAGTGCACACATACATTAAGGGATTTAAGAAAAAGTGTTGGAACGATGGATACTGGAGAATAATAAAAATACTAAAAATAGGAGGTTGTGCTCTGAAACTCTGCCCATCTCTGAGGAAATGTGAAAGACTTAATCGTCCCAGAAAAAGTAGCAGTTTAAAGGGATGACCTCCTTGAAAACAAGTTGATGAAGTTGACACATAAGGGCATCCTCATATGCTTGGAAGAGACATAGGAGTTAATAAAGATAGCTGCAACCTCTTCTTCTATAATAGTAAATCCACAACAATGCAACAGCATTAAAAACCTACATCAGGCAATTTTGGAACAAAAATACCGCTGTATGCATACACATCATTTCTGAAGATGATGGTAAAGTCATAATAGTGCAAAAATATGAAATGCTTTAAATTACATAATTGGTGATGTTTCAGATCACAATAAAGACATTTGCAAGCTTGATAAGTGTAATTTAAATAACGTTTTTCATATTTCTCCAACACATATGAATATGCTAACATTAGCTAAAAAAAATGCATATCTTTGTCCCCCCTCAACAGTAAACCTACTGTCACTAAATGCTCTTTTCTCTAAATTGTGTAAAACTGAGATTTAGAAGTAACTGTTTTAATCTTTACTTTGATCAGAGTTTTTGCCTCTCCTCTGATTGCATGTCATTTCCCCCGTTGGCATTCTCCCTGCTTCCTGTATTTTAGGTTGACTGTCCACTAATGGCCTTGCTCCAGTGATTCTCTATGAGAATCATTAATGACACACCTTACCTGGTGTGCCGGAGCCTACTACCTCCATCCATTGCACTCACAGGAAAGTCAAATTAGAAATGCATACCACCATATATAACCCATATGCCTTCAAATTACCATACCACGCTGCCATCAGGACAGAGATATGTAAAGAATTGAGAGGAGTCCTAGGAGTAAAAGTCTTTTTTTTTAGGGAAGTGTTTATTTATATTCATTTATTGTTTTATTCACTAGTGAATGGATTTAAACTGTGTATGTTTTTTTGGTGTGATCTCTACTACGGTCAGTGACTATGACTTACAAAGAAGAACATGAATACTAATCTCAAATGCAACAGGAGGACTTAGATAATATGCACTGCTTTCATTACTAGAGCTCAAACTCACAGTCCAGCATATTAGTTGTCTGATACCTTGGGAACTTTAAAATGTACACTTTTGAAATGGTAATAGCATTATATTCATTGTGGACATTAGATATCAGCAGAACAGTTGTATTCAAACTATTGACAATATCTTTGCTCTTGCATGTATATTTTACACTTGTGAACACCGGACACTTGTGCCCACAAAATACTCACAAATGCATCTTCACCTGTGCATTTCTTAAACCCCGTTTTGCCCTTTTAACCCTTTTGTGTATTGTATCCTATTTTTTCATTCTTATTCACTTTTTCATGGTCTCTTACCCCCTTATATGTCTCTGTTGTTGCCACCTTTGTGTCCCAACCCTCTCTTTTTGTGCCTCTAAAATATCTTTGTTTCTCTTACACCTCTGTGTGTCTCTTACCCCCCTGTGTCTCTACCACCTTACCATTTGTGTATCTTACATCCCTTTGTCTCTTACCCCTCTGAATCTCTTGCTCCCACTTTTTGTTTCACTAGCCCCATTCTGTAATGTGGCTTTGTGAATTACTTTATTCTCTACTTGGTCTTACAAGAATCTGCTTGTTTCTAATTTCCTGCCCCATTTAGTCACAGTAAGCATCTACCTGTCACACTAAGTAGATGATACAGAGTGACCAGCCGGAGGGAGCAGCTCTATGCACCCCTACCTCCTGTCACCCAGACATCTTGGTCCCTGCCCTGTGGTGATTGCCATAGGACAGCCACTTGTGTATTTTTATATGAGCATTGGCCCTGCATGCACAGACACTTACAAAGCCTCAATGCACCCACAGGAAACTTGTTTGACATATTGTTAGATTCTTGCTAAATCTAAACATTATTCCAGTTGTGGTCCCCAAAATAGGGCCAAAAAATTGTATGCATTTTCTGTATCTTTTGTAAGGAGAATGCCAGCTTGAATTTCTAGTTCTATTCTGAACTTGCAGAGGGATAAGTCTGGCATTCAAAATGCATGGGTTTTATCTTTTAATGCCAAGTGTTAGTTAAAACATGTGTGAGATCTGAGACCACCTAAAGGACATTTTTGTCTCTTCCTTGGGGTATTTAGCCACACTACCTGGAACAGAGACTTATACATTTAACCTTTCTTATGTTATGCACTGACCAAGTACAACCAACACAAAGTGTATGAACTCCAAAACTAATTCCTGCTGTTTAAGGTTTGCATAGATAAAGATATCTTATTAAACAAAATATTGTTGTTTTTAAAACGGCATACTAAACATATGTGAGCCTTCCTTTCTGTTAGGTGGTGGATTTAAAGGGATGCTCTAAGCGCCAAAACAACTTTAGCTCAACGAAGCAGTTTTGTTGTATATATTATTCCTGCAGTCTCAATGTATAAATATCTGCCATTTAGGGGTTAAATCACTTTAAACTATGATACATTTATTTACACAAGAGTCAGACTACCTTTCACACAGGTTATATCAAATGCAAAGAACTGGAGATGGCAGGAATTTTTATGTGCAAAAAAAAAAAAATTCACTGGCACAGTATCCAATTTTTGGAAATATGTGCAAATGAGCTATATATTTGTTACTGAATAAATGCATTTCTGCAGAAAGTGACATCGTTCTGGATAATCATAGGCTTTGATGTTTTCTTTAAAATATTTGAAATCCATGGTTATTCTGCTAATGATAACGCAGACTCTTGTTTTACTGCAGGTACAGACAATATATCAGCGCTGGCTTGTTCAGCACCCTGGCTAGCTCCCTAGCTAAAGGATTTCTCCGCACAGAATACGAGCAATAAAAATGATCCCCTTTCATTCACTGAAACAGATATCTGAGGAAAGAAGAGCAGAAATGCACAAAATCCATCTTCTGACAAGAGAATGTTGGCAAAAAGAACATTTTGCTTTAATTAAATCCTTGCTGCTCACGGAGACTGGTTTTCTCATAATGGTAAAAATCTTAAAGAATAATGGATTATTTTCAATGAGAGCTTGTGAATGCCAAGCATGTTGCTTCAGGGACCAGAGAGATAAACACTTACTGTACCAAAGGGTACATGGATCTTATACAGTTATTTATTTTACACCAATAAAAGTCACCTTTATTCATTCTGAGACTGTCCCTTTGAACTAAGACAGATGGACATACTGAGTGTAATAATGAATGATGCTTATAATTCTAAGAGAAAAATAGCATGCAGTAATAAATTATCTGGTGTTATGGAGAATGGGCATGATAATGCAAGTGGGTCTTATCTGTAGAACCACAATAAAAATTGCTGTGATATAAAAAGATCTTGGTGATGTTTGGGTATAGCTGACATTCCGAGATGAAATGATGACTTCTTGAACACGGTACATACTTCTCCCTATTTATTTATTTTTAAACAAATGCTCCCAATAGGGGAATGATTATTATTATTTTTTTTCGTTTAAGTCGCATAGAATATAATGGCTCCCCAGAGTAGGTGTTTATCTGTCTTTTTTGATAACTGATAGTGAAACGTAAATGGATTGTCACTGCTAACCAAATTTGCTATTTTGTTCTCATCTATTCTTATGCTGGCAATAGGGAAAAGGTATACAGCAATTTACTTATTGGACATTATCTATATTTGCTGGCCCTTAAGGGACACTTCAAGTACTTGGACAGCTTCATGTACATTGAAGTTTAATGTAACAGAATATTTCTGAAAGAACATATACAACTCAATATGCATGTTCAACCTTTCAGTTTCCATGTCTAA